CGCGGACTTTGAGAGATTCTATAGTTAGAGGTTGAAGTCAATGAAAAAACAGGTGCCGTGACATGGCCCCAACTTATAATTCTCCGAGACATGTAAGGGGGGCCCTATTACCAATGTCATGCTCCATTCTAACCTGTAAATACATTTCGTGGCCCCCAGGCCTATAATGAAGCGATGGTTGCTCGCTCTCGGGGTGAGTCGTAAGGAAGAATTGTAGGAAACTGTAACGCATTTATTCACATTTCAACTTTATTGCAGGTAGGTAATCATAAGGATGAAGGGCAGGAAACTGTAACGCATTTATTCATATTTAAACTTTACTACATGCCTTATGGATAGGTAATTTTTATGTAGCTACAATTTGTACATTTGTCGTTACACCTGCAGCTCCCATACTAGTTATAAATATAACTTTGTTTGCTAGGGTTGTTTTGAAGCACTCTAGTCGATTTTCTGCCTCGAAGTATGTATGGTAACGTTGGGGTAGCATGCACTTGAAGGTTTCGGTTTCAACCACAATTCGATCTCCCAACTTGGTACCAATCACGCCGATATCAACAATTCGGTATTTTTCACCAATTTCCATATCCTTTACATTTTTGAATGGCTTACAATAGGTCGACGAGTTCAGGGAAGCGAAATCAAATTCTTCCATTATTATTGTATATCTATAAGAAAAACAAAAGTGTAGAAATCAATTACGTAGTCGATACTTTTAGTCATAGAAATTTAAGATAAAATCTTACTTGCCGATTACCGATTCGGTCCGAAACACTGATCGCGGCATATGTCAACAGCACTCAATTTTTATTATAAATTTATGCTAACACTGCGGGAAGCAATTTCCCCTATCTTTTCGCAAAGTAAGCAAGTTTATTTTGTGTCAACTGCGCTAGATTTTTGTTACAAATTATGCTTATAATGCGAGAAACCAATTTCATGTGTCTTTTCGCAAAGCAAGCAAATTATTTGCCATACAATTTCCTGTCTCGTATCGCAAGGAAAGCTAATATGGTTTATGTGAAATTTTTAAAGGGGGGGGGGGCCTCATTACCTATACAAAAAACATTTATCTAATCTAACATGTCAATCTTTATGACCGCTAAGAATTAGTATGTGTTTGTTTATGCAACTTTAAATTAATTCTAGAACTCTTGTTCTGTCTGCCTAAGTACCGAAGATTCTCTCGTGGAAGATCAAGATGGTTGAATTTTAGGAAGAATTGTAAATATTTATTATCGCTAGTGAGATCCTTGAAATGATGCTCCCAATCGTATGCGGGAGTGGATAGCAAAAAACAAAACAAAACAAAGAATTAGATATTTATTTATATCTGAAAGAATAACGAAACGTAACATTACTAGAGCATTTAGCTACTAACATAGATAATCCAAGAAGCACGATCTAATTCCGGATCCATAAAAACGACGAACCTGAGCCCCCTATATACTCCGCTTTCAATTAAAGTGGATCGGGGAATGGCTCCCAGCCCCAAAATTATGGCCATAATATCCTATTTATAATTAAACTTATTATAACTATTATTATCCTGGGCTGCTCATTTTGGACATTTCGAAAACTAGAATGTACGATTTTCAACTGTAACCGAAAACTTAGCGACGACCGGTTGAAATTGCTGTACATAGGTAGGTTCCGATACTCTCCTGTATGAGATGACATCTGATGATGCATAATAGAAAATCATGCATTCTAGTTTTTGAAACTTCCGACATTGATCGTACCACCAAGACTAGTTTGGAAACCAATATTCAGTTTTCTTTCGACACCAGGATGGTGACTGTGATGGATGTATGAGGCTTTAAAACATCAAGAAAGGGATTTTTACCGAATATGATGCATCTTAATAGGTATCACCTTTAAGCAGCACTTTAGGATTAATTTCCCTTAATCTAAATAAAGCATATTCGGCCAGTTGCACAAATAATAAATAATCCAGGATTATTGTTTAATCCGGTGTTAGACATTTGATTAACCTTATACTGTAGTATGCAGCCAATCAAATGTTAAAATTCTTGTTTAAACTCAGATTTGAAAATAATTTCCTGCAACCGGTCGATTGAGTGGTTTGAATAATGAAGATGTAGCCTGATCCATGCAAACTATTAATGTAGAATAACACCATAACATCCCCGAATGTTATGAATTTAGAAACTACTTTGCTGATAATAAATACTATTTTATCCCCATCTGTCTAAACTAAGGTAAAAGTTAGAACTTGTCTTGTGAGGCCGGCCGTTCGATTGTTGTAATTATGAAAGAGTTCACAGAGAAATCAAAACTAAGTTGCATTTCTGGGTTGAGAGACACCAAACCGATTAGCAAATGTGTAGATACTATAGGGATTGATACCTATTGCATACGATGACGTGATGCTTCTTGCCAGCATTACAGAAGCATCATCGCTAAAGCACTTATTCTATTCTTAGGGGCGAGTTCCAATTTATTATCATATCCAGGGTTGGAACAAAACAAAACAAAATTATTTTAGGTAAGGAATTAACTAGAACGTCCATATACTGGTAATCATGTGTAGGACTGTATAGGAAAAACAAAAACAAAATTAGGTATTTATTTAGATCTGAAAGAATAAATACAGATTGAAGCGTGACATTAAAGCGGTTAGCTACTTACATAAAATACCCAAAAAGTATTGTATAGGTCCAGGTCTTTATAGACCTGGAACCACATATCTTTATGCCTCCCTTCTTCCATTTTAATTGTTGAGAGGATTACCCCCAAACCGCGAATTATCGCTACATTCTCCTATATTATAGAAAATTAACAATATGTCATGATTCATGTAAAGTACTTACTGATTTATATTTCGCAATAATTTGGTTGCGAAGTTCCCTTTCTATAAAAATATACGGTTAAACCGTATAATATACGGATATATTTACCTCTCTCGGTCTGCATATCTCCGCAAACAACTTCAATTTCTTGATCTGAAATTGCATCTATTACATTTTGGATAAAATGGAAAAAAATTGATTTTGCCTACCAGTCATGATGAAGTATGCGTACTCAATGAGGCTAGTAGGCATAAGCGTTATCTAAAACTGCAAAAGTGCACTTTCCATAAAATAGGTAGTCAACGTCAACGCCGCCGTTTTTCTAGTTTGCCGTGTAAATGTGGAGCCAGGTTAAGGAACTATTAAACTGTAAACTTAACATTTTCCTAATATTCACATATTTCCGTTTCATCGGCTTTTATGCGAGAACGGTGTCGTTTTCTAGTATAACTATAATTATTAGAAAAACCTATAAATTAAAAATAGGACCACTTTATGGGTACCTCCACTACACCATTTTAAGCCCAATTTGAGACAAAACAAACCCAATTTGAGATTTAACAATTTCAACTCAAATTCAAATTAGGAATTATCAAGTTTAATTTGGGATGAAATCATCCCCGTATGGTATAAATTTAGACGTTACTTTTTACAATTTTATAATAAATTGTCTTTTGTCCCCATCTGGTCCAAATCAAGGTAAAAGTTAGAACCTGGCTTATGAGACTGGCTCTCCTTTCAATTGCTGCAATTATGAGAGCTCAATGAGAAATCAAAACTATGTTACAACCGGGTATGGAAATATGTAGATAGGTCTATATTAAGCGCGTGCTGATCTCTAATTAACAATCACGCCCAAACTTATCAGGTTATTCAGTTATTCAAAGGTGAAATCGTATTTGAAGTGTATACGGGCCGCAATAAATAAATGAACACTTAGTGTACTTTGATAACTGTTGACGAAAGTTTCAGGAGAATTGTCTTTATTTCGGAATAAGAAACGATGGAAATTTGAATATGATATAATTACAACTAATTGTTGTTGTAAGCACTATGTAATAAATATCAATGGGCCCACAAGGGTACAATATTTTGGCCTGTTTATTGCAGCAGCCCTAAAATCAATACTACTAAAAAATAAATAATTGTTTAGTAAGCTAGCGGGTTTATACGTATTTGACCTCGTATTTGACCATTCTTGCTTGGTTCCAATAAGTTGGTAATTATACTTTTCCACTTCAGGTAGGGCTACTACATATACTCGTATGTCTACCAAAACACCTTCGAAATTCTTCAATTCTTCACAATTCTTAACCCGGCTCTTGTTCCAAAATCAGTGTTTATCTGTTTTAGAAGCAATAGTTACCTACATGACATGCATGAGGGATGGGAAACTGGCTTTCCTTTCCATTGATGCAATTATGAAAGAGTTCACAGGGAAGTCAAAACATGTTGCATTTCCGGGTTCGGAGAAAGTACCAAACCGGTATAAATAGGGGATTGATTATATTCCATACGATAAAGTGATGTTTGTTGCCTACATTACGGAAGAATGTCGTCGCTAAAGCACATATTCTTAGAGAAGTTGCAATTTATAATTATATCGAGGGTTGAAGCAAAACAAAACAAAATTATTTTATGTACGGATTGTAAGGGATTAACTAGAATGTCCATATGCTGGACGTAGGAATGTATAAGATGAACGGTGATGAATCCGGTACCTAAGTTTATAACATTAAAGGAATGATCAAATTCAGAGTTGACTTATTATTCCACGTAATTTCCAACGCATTTTGGAAGTTATCGATGGTGCCAACACCTATTCCTTAACTAACATCGTCTAATGTTTCGGGGGTCGTTGACCGTGTTATTACATGATAATAATAAAAAATCATCGATCAACAAAACAAGATGTTGTCTTCCCCAAACAATAAGTCGTCTTGTTTTATTGAAAAATATTTCAACCCAATTAGAGAATATAGAATTTCGAACGAAGAAATCCTTGACTTTTACACATACTTATAGATCAATAACCCAATAGCCAATAACCAATTTTTTTTTTCTTTTATGCGAACTCACCACATCCGCTTGTGCTAGTTATTACCCTTAGAGAATTACTATCACCTTGCTAACGTTAGCAACCCTATTGCATAATAAATTGAAGAACTTGCGATTTAACATTCTTAGTGAACTTCTTACACGAATACCTATAACTGTCGTATACGTAATCGTAAAGGCGCCACAGAACAGTGAAAATGTCCCAGAACCCTTCAATGAAGAAAATTCAAATAGTGCAGGATTTGCTAGTGCACCCGTCAACCTTGAGGTTACCCTCAACTGATGGTAGCCAACATCATGGGTCACCTGCAACCGCTCAACAAAGGACGTCAGAAAACGTCATATATATTGCTGATAGCGATATAGAAGACGAATTTGCGGGAGTGCAGTAAGTACATAGTAATTAATAGCGTTCATTTTTTATACACCTCAACAATATAGTGGAAATCTTGAGAGTCACCAGACCCGTCCCGCGTCGGATCAACGTCTACCACCACCACCACCACCACAAATGCAGCATCCGGATCACCTTCATCATCAGCACTCAACGCATGCTGAACAACAAATGCTGCTCCCACCAGTGAATTTAATTGCGGTTAAGGAGCACAGCATGCGATGGCTGTAGGAGCTTCACCGAAGCTACCAACATCGACAAGTGGTATTGGAGACGTTGACCACACAGTTATCGGATGAGCTGGCTGAAACTATCAGAAATTTGGAAACTGTGCGCGCTAACGTACTAGAGACTGAAGAGATGCTGCGTAGGCTCTACGAAATGAATGTGTAGTTATTGTATATAGAAATAAATATTTTTTCATATTGTTATCATAAAAGTGTTCCTATCTACAACACCCGGGAAACTTATGACAGCACAACATAATCATTTTGTTTATAGGTATACATGGTCATCGAAAAATGTGGACTCGAATTAAAGGATTGTTTGGTCAGTTTGCTCAATATGTAGTACATATTCATGTTTTCAAATACCGCACGGTGAATTTTATACAATGTTCTTCCTCACCCTCTGAGAGAAGATTTTCAATTGTTTTCTAATATCTCAAGCTTTTCGAACGCTATTGAAGTAGTAATCTGTGCTGATTACCATTATGACAGCGCAAATAACCATTTCGCCAATATACAGGGTTATCGAAAAAGGTGAACCCGCTTCTTAATTAATTGTAAAAGTATTAATGACTCGAGCGAAATACAGACAAAATGTTTGGAGATTACGTCTGCCCTTGATGTTGGAAGTGTACGCAGGCGTTAAACAAATCGGAGTTCGTGAGCGCAGTGCGAACAGTTCAATTTCAAATTAAGGGATTGATTGGTCAGTTATTCGAAGCAAGTAGACCCAACTAAAATTTCTATACCAGCAACAAATGAATATTAGTAGTTCTAGATACTCGCAATACGCAATACTTAAAACGTAATTAATTTTTTTTTTTCTGGAATTGTTAAAGATACCATTTTTATCGTAAATTACTCTCTTTTAATCCAGTATTCAGCACAATTGTTCAAATTCAAATAATGGTTGGACCGGGTCCCAAAGCGGTGGAACTTTAAAGTGCTGGGTCCATAAGTATAATTTCATCTGTATGGTGAAAGACCAAAGGCTTTGCAAGTTTGCTCAACAGGGTTTTCCAACCGCTCCAACAGCTATCCATCAGATTAGCAATCCGGTCCAATAGTTATTTGAACTGGTACCGGTTCCAAAATCTGTTAATCGATTCTGTTATAAAGATGGACGCAAGAGATAAAGCGATGAAGCAGAAACTAACTAAGACCCGCAATACTATCAAGTGTTTAAAGGAGGTGAGATTGAAACTCGACGTTTGTTGAAACAACATATAAGCCAATAGTAGAGCAACTTAATGGCCGTTTGCACCGTCAAATTTAGGCGGAGCTTAGCTTAAGCGTAGCATAAAATCCAAGGCAATCATTGTCTCTTCAAAGGAAATACTCGTAAGTGCCCCTTCACACTGCACCGCTCAGCAGCTCTGCACTGCGTCCCGTCTCATGGCTAACCAGCGCTGCTAAGTCGCCCAGTGTGAAGGGGCACATACGAGTATTTACTTTGAATTTTGCAAGTATAAGCATATGCTTCTTTTTATTCATATGGGCGAATGGTTAGCTCAGCAAGAACTCAAAATACCTAAATTGATATTAAATTAAATTGAATATAAAATTGAATATGAATCGACTGCTATTTAAGACGAAGAAGAGCAGTTTACAACACCATAGCCCGCAGAAAATGTACAGATCACACCTGCTAAACGTCTCAATTTTATCGAAATTAATGAAATTAGTGACAACATATAGTAACAAGAAACAATATGAAAATGAAAAAGAGGATACTATACTGAAACGATTAACTTATCACAACTACTTGATGAAAAAGCCGCTCAAAAGAACGATATTGACCACGTTTATAGCTTTTGATACGATGGGTTATAAATGGAGAGGATAATGTGACATTTGACGGACCGATGAAATTTACAGCGGTACTCCATGGCTGTATGAATTGCTTGTACTGAAAAAGCCTCAAAAATTTTCCCCCGAGGCTCGACAAATTTGGATGTCATTAATCATCGAGAAATAGGATCCGCAGTGATCAGAAGACTGGTGAATGTGCAAAAGTTCATGTGGAATTAGGTAAGTAGGTAGTGATGGGAACTTATGCAAAATAAGAGGATTCGTAACGTTATCCACCCGTATTGGGATAGCGATATTGCCACCAAACAATATGTTGATAGATGTATTATCAAACTGTATCTAGTGAATCTAATACGTAATGAGGTCCGCCAGATTTAAAAATGGTACTCCAAACTTTCCACGGAATTATTTAAAGTTACAAAAGTAAAGGTCTCGCTAGTCGCTACATATCTATTAGAGGATTTAATGGGTAAACCAATCATGGGAATTACAGAAAAACAGCTCATCCGGATATCTAAACTGTTACACCACAAATATTTAGCATGCTCTAAACAAGCATAAACGTTTCCGACCTGAAAAACTGTGTTAGAATATTTTCGGACCTAGGACATTTCTGGGAGTCACTTTAAATCAAGCAAACACGTCCGACACCTGTTTCTCACAACGTAATACTGTATAGTAATGCCATACATAATGTTTCTGAATATGGACGATCAGTGGTTCCTGCCGATGACCGATGATTATGGAAAATTTCACCTCTCTAGGGTTAATGACACTTTACTGTAACAATGCTGGTATCATGTTGGAAGTGGAGTGGTAACCGTTGATGTGGAGATGGCAAAGGTACTTAAGTTGTAAAAGTTAAGTGTACTAAGTTAGTGTAAATACGAGATGTGGATGTGTTACGCTGCTGAACGTTGGACGAAACCCGTCGATGCGCGCACAGGGGTTGAACGAGTAATGCAACGATTGTCTGCTATGGAGTTCGATGCTATGCACGAGGCCGTGTATGGGCTAGGTCGACATTATTCTGAAGAAGAATGTAACGCTCTTGCTGAAAAATATGGGCTAGGTGTTAAGTTGTGTGAAAGTTTTTTAGAAGGTAAATACTGTTTATCTTATCTTATACACAAGCTCCGTGAGGCTGCACTAGAAGAATATGTAGACGATTTGAAGAATTGGGAAGGTCGAGGTACCGGCAACGAAAAAAGTAACGGGGAAAGTGTGGGAGATGAACAGAAAGAGGAAAGTGGGATAGAAAATCAAAATGAAGAAAAATAGTAGAATTTTATAAAATCAGAACCTGTTGCTTATTAGTTATTATAGCTGTTTGGAGCCTGTATTATATTCGTAATAAGATGTATTAATTGTAATAAAGTACAAAATAACTATTATTGCTATTTTATTAGAAATTACTGCAGTACATAAGTATTGTATTAACGTTAAGTAAAGCGCAATGGCAAGATTATGTGATAATAGCAAATTGCTTCTAATGTAAGCGGAGCTGGCGCATTTTCTTCCACCTCAGTGACAATTTGCGAATGAAATCGGCTTTTCCTTATACTTGGTCTGATGGTATATTGATGAAGTATAATGGGTAATATGCATTTTGGCCATTTATATTTGTAGAACGGGGGCTATGCAAATGGTATATGGCGATATTAAATTGTGTAACCAATTTCCAACAATTATAGGTTTAATTATAAATAGAATAACGTGATCATAACAAGATTTACAAACCGATACTGGTTCAAATCGCTGTTGGACCGAGTCGCAAATCTGATGAATAGCTGTTGGATCAGTTGGCAAAGCTAATGGACCAGTTGGAAAAGCTGATGGACCAGTTGACAAAGCTGATGGATCAGTTGGCAAAGCTGATGGACCAGTTGGCAAAGCTGATGGACCAGTTGAAAAAGCTAATGGACCAGTTGGCAAAGTTAATGGACCAGTTGGCAAAGCTGATGGACCAGTTGGCAAAGCTGATGAACCAGTTGGAAAAGCTGATGGATCAGTTGGCAAAGCTGATGGACCAGTTGGGAAAGCTGATGGACCAGTTGGCAAAGCTGATGGACCAGTTGGCAAAGCTGATGGACCAGTTGGCAAAGCTGATGGACAAGTTGGGAAAGCTGATGGACTAGTTAGAAAAGCTGATGGACCAGTTGGCAAAGCTGTTGGATCTGATAGCAAAGCTGGTGGACCTGATGGGCAAAGCCCTTGGATAACGACCGGATTGGACCGGTTCGATTAAATCCAAACAACAGAAGGTACCCGTATAAGCAGCAAAATCTCTCCTCGGATATCAAGTATATAGATGCCTACGAGGAATATCTAAACTATCGAACGCAATACGACGATTCTGAAAGTGGTTATCTTCTCAGTTAAGTGGCGTTTAAAAGACAGCCAATATTCGTAATCAACTGTACTCGTCACAATGAAAGTAATTATTCATAATGTGGTTATCGACTTGAAGCTGGAAATTGAATCATTTGCAGCAGACACCTCCGCTTACTGTATAATTTTGCATGATGTTTTAATTGAAAATGAGCCATTTACTATATAGTACGTAAAATTTAATTTAAATACAAGATTTTAATGTACCTATTGCGAAAATAAATTAAACATTTTGAAAATGTTGCTTTTCTTTTCCCTATGTATATATTAACAACAAATTTATCATTAAACTATTTTATAGTTTCTCCTTGAGTATTTTATCGGTTACATCTTTTACAAATCTTTGAGGGTGAATATTTACAAATTCTGTTAAAAATGAAAAATCTCTTAAACATGAGTGTGCAACCAACTTTTTTAATAACTTAAGATTTTGACAGAAAAATTTTCCTCTTGACAAAATGTGTGGTTTATCGAACAGACCGCCCCTACAAAGATCATCCGCTACTTCGTCCACAAAGTGGAAGTCGAATAATCGCTTAGAAAATCCAATTTTGATGTACAAAATCTACACCGGAGAGGAAATGATTTACCACTTCTTCGATTAGCACTATGGAATTGAATCCTTGACTTATTCTTATACCCCTATTACCATTTTCACAATCAGCAAACTCAATTTTTATACCGTACCCTACGAAAACTTCATGTGCCAACTTACCGGTCGATACTTTTAAGCATGAGCCGAATTATATGCTCCGTTTTGTTTTGTTCCAACCCTGGATATGATAATAAATTGGAACTCGTCCCTAAGAATAGAATAAGTGCTTTAGCGATGATATGCTTCTGTAATGCAGGCAAGAAGCATCACGTCATCGTATGCAATAGGCATCAATCCATATAATATCTACACATTTGCTAATCGGTTTGGTGTCTCTGAAACCAGAAATGCAACTTAGT